GTTCTCAAGGTTGGAATCTTTACAGGAGCAAACTACCACATCTTTCTCCTGCAAAGAAGTGGATCTCCACAACAGCCACCCCCTTTTCTTTCTATATCCAGCTGCAGGACACGTCCCAAACCTATGTCAACTCCCAGGCTTCTAAGGTCCCAGGCTCTGCCTGGAATAATCTCTGAGGATCCTTTAGGCTCTGGAATCTTTTGATTCTAAAATTTACACCCAGCCACTGCTTCACCAGCACCAGTGACCCTGCTGACCCAGGGATGATGCATAACCACTCATACCACTCTGACCTCGAGGAGTACATGGCACCCATGAGTGCTTAGTATGGCCTTGGAAGCAGTGCTGTCACCACCTCTCCTGCCTGATGACCAGGGAAGGCATCCAACTTGAGTGATTGGGAGAACCTTTCACTTAGGAAAACAAGAAAGATGTATACAGCCTCAAAATTCACTATTGGGCATAATGGGGATGTCTAGGTGGTGTAGTGGTGAAGGCATTTGGCTGCTAACCAAAAGGTTGGTAGTTTGAACCAACCAGCTGCTCTGCAGAAGAGAGATGGTGCAGTCTGCTTAGAGATTTACAGCCTTGGAAATCCAATAGGGTTTGCTATGGGTCAGAATTGACTTGATGGCAGTGAGTTTGGTTTCTTGAGTTTGGGCTGTCCAGGAAGGACCTAAATTGAGAGGAAGACTTGGGGCTCAGAAGCTTCCAGGTTCTCTGGGCTGACATTTCCTCCCTCTATGGAAACAAGGCCTCTGGTGAGGGCTTCCCAGGGTACACACGGAGAAGGGGGTCAGGAGCCACCCATGCTTACCTTTACTTGTTTCACTCTCTCTGATAAGAAACGCACCAGCCTTATTGATTGGAGCCAGAAGCTGCCTCTCAGCATTTTTCCTGCTAATTGATCTAAAGAACCACCTGGAAAAGGGAAAAGGCAGGCAAACTTCAAACAGTGGCTATGTTCCTTAGACTACTCTTATCCAAACCTCCCTCCTAAGCTGTACTTCTCCCCCCATGAAATCAAATACCTGTGTCTGTTCCCAAGTTAACTCTGAGATATTGTTCCTCATATCTTAGTAAACTAAATGTCCCTCTGGTCCCTGTACCCTTTTCCCTTTTTCCATCAGCATGTGGATTTACAATTTTCTTTAAAGAAAATGAGAATATTATTTGGGTGACCTTTGTTAATTTTGCTTTAGAAAAATACACCTGACCACCTGCCCCACAAAGCACTCACTGTTGCCTCTTTGAGTTTGAGTCTCTCAAACAGACAAATTGACAGAGACTCTCAGAGGTGGGATGCCCACTGTGTTCCCCACTCAGTACACCCAGACTGCATGTGATTCTTTAGTGTGGAAGTGCCACGTTGTCCCTCATGCTGTCCTGGGGAAAGACACTGCAGCACCAGGCAGGGCTGGGCGTGAGTGGACAGGAAACCCTCCCACAGCAGCCATCACTGGAAGCCTTGGAAGAGTGTTGGCTGGTCACACTGCCCATTGTTGACTCTCAGGCCATCCTGACATTGGGGGAGAATCTTGGGGTGATGCAATGGTTAATATGCTTAGCTGCTAATCCAAAGGTTGGAGGTTGGAGGTTCCAGTCCACTCAGAGACACTTTGAAAGGAAGTCCTGGCAATTTAATTCTGAAAAATCCTCTATTGAAAACCCTGGAGCATGGTTCTACTGACACACATGTGGTTGCTATGAGTCAGAGTCAACTAGATGGCAACCGGGTAAGCCAGGGACAGGGTGGTTCTCATTTTACAAACAGTAAGAGTGAGGTGGAGATGAGGGAAAGGATTTCTTCAGTATCACAATCACACAGTGATCTAAACCCAGGAGGGGCCTTATCGGGAATCAGTAAACAACACTTTCCCAGCAGTTTCAATTCCCTGCCTCTTTTCTGCTCCCTCATTCCTGAGTCCACAAAGGTTCACTTTTTAGCCCACTGTTGATTCCACCCATAAGAGTAGCCTTCAAAGGAGAGGTAGTGCTTGTTGTCTCTGCTTAGAGGGAACCTTGAGCTTGTCCACCTACTTTTCCACTTCCAGGGTCTCTACTCGGGCAACAAAGTTGCTGGGCACATAGCCTTTTCTTCCCGTGATGAGTGATTTGGCCAACCACCAGTCTCCATCTCTAAGGGAGAGAAGGGAAAAAACAAAAATAGGATAATGGCTCACATAGGCCTTTCCTTGGGACAGGTAATAGCCCTTCGCAATATGATCTCATATCTGGGAGGTAGAGAATTCATGAAAATAGTCTGGCAGACGAGAAGTAACTTGTGCAAGTTGCTCACTGATGATCAGGAGCTATCTGGGTTCTTTCTACTTATCGAGCATCCACAGGTCAAAGGTACTGTGATCAAGGTCAGGAAGGGGGATGATGCAGTCTCTGGGAGTAAACATTTACCCAGACAGACTGAAAACCCCAAGAGGCCTCTCTCTTCTAGTGAATAGGTCTATCTCTTGATATATAGGAAAAATTGCAAAGCACATTCAGGATTTAGTAAGTGCATTTGGACTTCCCCAGGAAAGACAAAAACAGGAGGAAATGGGCAGTCCATGTATGGTCTAAAGGTGAGGGCTTTAATGCTCTCAGTTCAAGGCCATTGTAAGACTTCAAAAATAAAATCAAATCCTCAGTGCTCCATGGACAAGTCCAATGTTTGAGATAGAGTAGATTTTGGTGGAGTTGCTGAGAAGGAACACTGGAAATAAGCTAAAACTGATTTCACATGTGGAATCCTGTGTGAGATTTCCATCCAGTGAAAGAGACAAGTATGGACACAATAGATTCAAATATAAGACTCTAATGGAGCAGCAGACAAGTGCTGTGGGACAGACATAGGAGAGATTCACACTGTCTGAGAGAGTCAGGAGGACTGCATGAAGGAGGTGACATTTTAGGTGAGTTTTGAAGGATGAGTCAAATTTTAACAGTAGAGAAGGAGGTAGTGAATGGAAACCACCTCACCAACAGACTTTGGAAAGATACACGGAAGGAAGATAATTAGGTCAATTTTAAAGAAATGCTGGCTAATTGGGCTGGGAAACCAGAGAAGTGCTACCAGTAAGGTGAGATGATGTGGATGGATGATGGGTGGAAGCCTGCTGCGATAGACAAGTGCAGAGAATCCTGAGCAAGGGATAACATTCTGGAAACTTACTCGTTCAGGATCTGCAGCTTCTCTCCCTTCAGCATCTGCAGGTCCCGGTCATTCACTGCATTATAATCATACAGAGCCTCCACAAAATGCTCATCTAAAATACAAAAGGGAAAGGTGGCCACCACTTGGTCCTACTGGAGTGATGGCACAGAGTGTGATATTAGTTTCATGAGCCATCTTCTGTCTATTAGGAGAATTAGGAACAAGGAGGGCACAGAGGGGCGCCATGGTGAATCTTCTCACTCACCAATGCTGAAGAGGAAACTTCTGTCAGGCAGACTGACCTCCTGACCTCACTGTCTGCCTCTCAGAGCCCACTCTGTCTTTCCTTCTGGACTTTACTTAGAAACTTTGCACCTTGGGCAGGGCTGTTGTATAAGGGAATTGACAGCCAGAAGATCTAGACAGATCAGCTGCATATGCAATCCTTGCTAGGCATCTGATGGCTGCGGATTCAGGTTTGGGGAACCAGTGCCGGCCAATTCCTCATCCTGCCCTTTCCTTTCACCCTGCCTCTGAGGCAAGTGAGCTTCTCCTCTTCTTCACCTTCCCTATCTTCCCTATCTCCCTCTATCCCAAAGGGACGGTAGTCTTGTAATCTGATAGCTTTAGTTCTAACTTTTCCACAGGTGGTACCTGGAGCTCCTGTTAGAGGGCTTTTGGCTGGCAGCACTCCTGCACCTTTCTAGCCCTCTGACTTGTTGGTGCTGCCTGGAACAGGCCGGTAAAGGCTTGGGAGCTTGCCATGAGGCCTTTCAAATGACCACTGCTAATGAGGAAGGAAGGAGCTCTGGTAGCATAGTGGCTAAAGCACTTGACTGCTAACCAGAAGGCTGGAGGTTCAAACCCACCAGCCATCCTCGGAAGGAAGGTTGGGCAATCCTACTTCCGTGGTGATACTGCCTCGGAAACCCAAGGAGGGGCCGTTATGAGTCAGGGCCGACTTGACAGCAAACAACAACAACAACAACAACAACAACAATGAGGAAGGAAGGAACTCTGATAGCACAGTGATTAAAGCATTTGGATGCTAACCAAAAAGTTGATGGTTTGAACCTACCAGCCACTCTATGGGAGAAAGATGAAGCACTCTGCTTCTGTAATGATTTACAGGCTTGGAAATCCTGCGAGGCAGTTCTACTCTGTCCTGTAGGGTTGCTATGAGTTGGACTCAACTCAATGGCAGTAGGTTTTAATAAGGAAGGCCCTTCTGTACATCTCTGGGGACTCAAAGGACCTACCTGGAAAAGGTTACCTGGACACCACTTAACTTCCCTGGAAGAAGATGGCTCAGCTTTGTCACTAAGGGGTGGTGTGACCCTGGGCTAGTCACTTCACCTCTGTGTGAAAGAGACAGTTGGAATAGATGACAGTAGTCCCTTTGGTTCTAAAATTCAAGTTCTGGCTCCAACGGAAATTAGTTTATTTCCTTACCCTGGACTTCTTTTCTAGAGATGTGAACCAGGACGTGAAGTAACATCCCTGATGGAAGTTAATGGTGATCACCAGAAGGATAAGGACAATGACTGGAGGTCACTAACCAGGCTCCAGTTCTTTGCTCATGAGTTTCCTAGATTCTGAGCTCTTTCAGGGGAGAAGTCATATCTTATTCATTTTTAATCCTCCTTGGGCCTTGAATAGAGCCAGGTGTATAGCAGTTCTCAGTGCATAATGCATGAGTGAATTAATGAATGAAGCCTCGGCTGGCAAAGACTGACACCTTCTGTTCCAGCATGTTAGGTTGGGTTGTAAGGATGCTGGAGGATTGAAACATTGGGATCCTGGTCTCCTTTAAGCCAATGCTGAACAAGGCTACCATTCTATGAGTCTTACCTGAGGTCTGATCCCTTGAGTCAGGAAAAGTGAAGTCACTCATTGGGTCACCACCAGATTAGAAGTGGAGACTGGAGGTGACAGGAGGGTGGTGTGAATGGTTAGCGGGTTGTTAGGTGGCCTTTTGAAAGTAGGCTGGGAAAGTATTGGGAAACAAGATGTTGTCCTTCACATGGAACAAACCTAGGGCTGGTAGCTAAGGACACATAGCAATTGGTTCTAGCCATTTGAAATTGGGGGTGTTAGGATCTTTGAAAACTTGGCTTCAATGATGATGTTTTTGTTTCTTATAACTCTTTACCTTTTGTTCTCTTTTACAGTTGTAAAGTATTTATTTATTTATTAAATTTAAATCCCACCCAGGCTCAGACATACTAAAGGAAATTGTGCTTGGTTCCAGAGCTACGCCCAGGGGCAGGTGGAGCCAGCGACAGAGCTGAACCATGTGTCTGGCTGTTCCCAGCCTCCCCCAACTCAGTCTTCACTTCACCAACCCTGCAGAGTCTGTCCCTTGTTTAATCAGGGACGATTGTGCCTGATTGTCCCCCTGTTCTGACTCCACAAAGCAAGGCCTAGACGAGAGGGAGTGTGAAGACACAGCTTCCCAAACCATCCTTTTCTTACCTTGGTCTGGGTGTTTGTCCGGAGGTGGAGGTGCAAGATGATTAAAGACAACCTTGAGTAGAAGCACACACACTCTATGTTAGTTTAACACCCTGTATACTGGGCAAGGTCAAGTAAAATGAACCTGTTGAGAAGTTCAGCTAGATTTCCTCTGGGCATCTGCACTGTCCAACAAAGGCAGCTGTGTTCAGAGATTGCACAGGTAAATTGTACACATATAGCAGCAACTCCCCAGTGTCTCAGTGTTGCCCTTACCTCTCCTTATCCTCAGACCTTTCGCCATCTCTGCATTGACCACAAACATGATTAGAAGAAGAATATGTGGGATACCCCAACTTGCAAGAGGGTCTGGAGCTGTTTGCTAAGAGACAGTTTGCAGTGGGGAGGAAAACCCAAGCATATAGGTTAAAAATATGGATCGACCTTCAAAAGATGAAGTTGTAAAAGGGAATTTGTTGTCATGAAAAAATCTTAAAAACAAAACAAAACAAAACCATGATTCCCTAAAACTCAACAAATATATTCCTAGGTATACACCCTGTAGAGAACTTTTTGCATATGTGTGTCAGGAGATTATTTTATATATATATATATATATATATATATATATATATATATATATGAATGTTCCTTGTTTTAATAACACATAAAAATATAAAAGATGGAAGTAACTCTTATGAGCAACACCAGGAGAATAGCTAAGTTGTAGTATGTTCATGCAATGAAATGCTATGCCACTGTGAAAATGAGTCATCTATAGCTACTTGTATCAACGAGGATAAATGTCACAAATCAAGTCTCAGAAGAATACATACTGTTTGAGCAATTTAATTTAAAGGCCAAATTGTACAAAATTAGACTAAATATTGTTCTTGAATGTATACATATATGATAAAATAAAAAAGCAAAACTAAGGAAGAATAAACACATTGTAACAGTGGGGCCTGGGAGTGAAGGGGATGGTGGGGCAGGGAGCAGAGTGCTTCAAAGAGCTGCTTTGAAGAGTCACTTTCTATTTCTTCTGGTGGCACATGAATTCCCTTTATTCTTATTCTTTAACTTGTGTTACAAATATTCAAGATTCTTTTGTTTGTATCCCATATTTACTGAACACAATTTTGAAGTAGCATTTTGCAAAATGGTAAGTTTGGTATGATTCCACTAAAAATATAAACACGATACAAATAATGCATTGAAAAAGGGTCAGGAGACAGGAGTTCTGAAGTGCTAGCTCTGGTTATTTCTGGGTAGTGGGATAATAAGTAATTATAATTTATTTTCTTCTTAATTAATATATATCTTATGACTTTTTTAAGTAAAAAAAAAAAAATCCAGGCTACACTACTTATTAGCATGTAAATTTAGGAAAATTAATCTCTCTCAGCTGAGTTTTCCCATTTGATCATTCATTCATTCATTAACCTACATCTAGTTGTTAAGAGAGCTCTGGTAGCATAGTGCCTAAGGCACTGTTCTGCTAATCAGAAAGTTGACGGTTCAAACCCACTAGCCACTCCTTGGAAGGAAGATGGGGCAATCTACTTCCATAGTGATACTGCCTCGGAAACCCAAGGAGGGGTGGCTATGAGTCAGGTCTGACTCCACAGCACAAAACAACAACAATAACAACAGCTGTTAAGTAGGAGTGGTGCGAATGATTACACATTGGACTATTGACCAAAAGGTTGAAGGTTCAAACCCACCCTGAAGCTCCTCACTAGACAAGCCTGGTGATCTGCTTCTGAAAGGTCACACAGCCTTGACCATCCTATGGAGCAGCTCTACTCTGCATACATGGGGTTGTCATGAGTCAGAATCAACTCCATGGCATCTAACAACAAGTTGCTACCTGCCAGGCCCTGTGCTAACATAGGAAGCAGGTAGATAAAGCACATAGTTTCATCTATGAAATGGAGTTAACAATCACCACCCACATCAGGTCACTGTTAGGATAAAGTGATAACCACTTGCACATACAGGTGGAGGTAGAGTGATCAGAAAGGGGGTTGCCACGCATGGCTCTCAACTCGCCCAGAGCAAAAGGTCAGTGGTAGATGCAGTGGAGGACATGAACAATCATCTAAAAGTATATGTTTGAGAAAAACTCTAGGGTGCCATCTGCTTTGTAAACAACTAGAACTCTGTGACAGGAAAAATCAATCCCTTAATGATAATTTTTTTTTTTTTTAATTTGAAATTTCACTTTTTTCTTCTTTTGGAAGTTTTCTTGAATTTAAAATGCCTAAGGGGCTCTGTGAAAAACCAAGCCCCTGCACTGCAGGTGAGAAAAGACACCTCCAGTCTGGATGCTTCATCCCTAGACAGGAAGCTCTGTGAAGTGTCAGCAACAATGTCACACAGGGGACGGTGCTATCCAGAAGCTTCAGTAGGGCTGGCAGCAAAAGCTGCTAAATGCTCCAGACCCTTCTCTACCATACTGTTTCTTCAACTGTCCATTTTGACCCTTTTTTTTCCCATCAAGGTTGCCCTTGAGAAATGAAAATGGGGCAAGAATTATTAAGGATAAGCACGGGCCTGGTCCTGTGCTAAAAGCAATATACTACTCACTGCATACTTGTTTCATCCCTATCAGGAAGGTATTTTTATTATACACTTTTTATAGATGCGAAAGCTGAAACAAAAAGAAGTTAGCTAACTTGGCTCAAAACATACAGCTAACAGATTGAAACTTGGATAAGCTGGCTCCAGAGCCCGTGCTGCTGAACATTCTCTTACTACACTGCCACACTGATGTGTTTTGGGGTGGAGCCAGAAGGAGCCTTTTCATCGACGGCACATAACAACAAGCGCTGGGGCAGAGTGGAGACATGAAGCAGCCCCCAGAGAATCAAATGTCCCATGCTCTCCTTCCTCCCCTTCTCCAGTGGCCATGGGGCTGATCACTCACCAGGGGTGGCAGTGGCGGGGGAGTCTTGCTCTGGGTGTTGACCTTCACGGGGCTCCATCGGCCCTTAGCTTTCTCCTTAACCTGCTTTTTGCTGCTCACCACTCCCATCCTGTTGGAAAGTAAACAGCAGATTGATGATGTGAGACAAGGAGGTGTTCAAATCTTCTGTACAGAAGAGCTCCCCTAGCCCCCTTCAAGGGGCCAATTAGAAGGATGGAGTGAAAGTGGGGGCAGTAAAGGCCTCAAAGTCAGAACACGGAGTTAGAGGGGTGAGGTGATCCAAACAACCATTTATCTTTTTTCTAGAGGAGGATGAAGTGCCCTAGCAAGGAGAGAAGACTGGAATTAGGACACAGAGATGATCTGACCTGAGGCAACTGCCAGGAACTGTTGGGAAGAATCCCAGTGCTGTGGGGACAGGAGCCTTGGCAGGGTGGCTATGTGGTGTTCTAGAGAGAATCTGGCCAGTGTAACTGGTTGCCTGGTTTTAGTCTTAATTTTGCTGGTGGCAGGGTTACTTGGGAGAGTCAGTCAGAGTCCACATGCAGTCCTTCCTAAAAGGTAAGGCCTTTGTTAGAGCATTTCAAGTTCTTTAGAGCTTAGATTTTCAGGTAAGGTGCTATAAATTCAAAGGAGAGTGACACAGGCATCTAAACCCTCTGTAGCTCCTCAATAATATCAAGGATTCTTCAGAGGTGAGAAAAATACAATAAAGATTTCTCTGGGGTACAGAATCTTAGGACAATAGATATGGGAAAGACTCTAGATATCGCTGCCATCATGACTATCATCATTACCACCATCATCATCACCTTCATCCCTGGAGCTGCTATTAGCTACAGTTTAGGAAATGCTTACTCTTTGTTAGGTACTTCACAAACTGTAACTGTTATAATCTAGTCAGTGTTGTTGTCAGGTGCTGTCGTGTTGGTTCTGATCATAGTGACTCTATACACAACAGAATGAAAAACTGCCTGGTACTGTGCAATCCTCACAGTTGTTGCCATTCTTGAATCCATTGTTGCAGCCACTGTGTCAATCCATCTCATTGAGGAGCTTCCTCTTTTTTGCTGAGCTTCTGCTTTACCAAACACAATGTCCTTCTCCAGCATCTGGTTTCTCCTGATACCATGTCCAAAGTAGAGAAGATAAAGTCTTGCCATTGTTACTTTCAAGGAGCAGTCTGGCTGTATCTCCCCCAAGATAAGCCTATTCATTCTTTTGGCAGTTCATGGTATAGTTAATATTTTATCAAAGCACCATAATTCAAATACATCAACTCTTTGTTAGTCTTCCTCATTCATTGTCCAACTTTCTCATGCATATGAGGCAATTGAAAATACCATGGCTGAGTCAGATGCACTTTAGTTCTCAAAGTGATACCTTTGCTTTTTAACACTTTATTTAATTTTGTTTTACGTTTTCCTTTACCCAACTTAATATGTGTCTACTCTCTAGTTAGTGGTTTACCCTCCCTTTCCTACCCACCTCTGGTAATCATTAAAGAATATTTCTTTTTTTTGTGAAACCCTTTTTTGACTTTTTATAGTAGTGGTCTCATACAATTTTGTCCTTTTATGATCGACTAATTTCACTCAGGATAATGGCCACTAAATTCATTCTTGCTATGAGATGTTTTGCAAATTGATCATTGTTCTTTAACAATGTGTAGTATTCCATTGTATGCGTGTACCATAATTTGTTGATCCATTCTTCTGTTGGTGGACATTTAAGTGGTGTTTGTTATTGTGAACAGTGCAGTGACAAATATGGGTGTGCCTATATCTGTTCATGTCATGGCTCTTCTTTTAGGATATATACTCAGCATTGGGATTGCTGGATCATATGGTATTTCTATTTCCAGCTTTTTAAGGAAGTGCCATACTGTTTACCACACTGGATGCACCATTTTACAGTTCCACCAGTGCTTTTCAACACTGTAAACAGATCTTTTGCAGCAGATTTGACCAATGCAATAAATCATATCTTTTGATTTCTTGACTGCTGCTCCCATGGGCATTGATTATGGATATAAGTAAAATGAAATCCTTGACAACTTCAATATTTTCTCTTATTGTAATGTTGCTTATTGGTCTAGTTGTGAGGATTTTTGTTTTCTTTACGTTGAAGTGTAATCCATACTGGAGGCTGTAGTCTTTGATCATCATCAGTAAGTACTCCAAAACTCTTCCCTTTAAGCAAGCAATGTTGTGTCATCTGCATATCACAGGTTGTTAATGAATCTTCCTCCAGACCTGATGCCACACTCTTCTTCATATAGTCCAGCTTGTCAGATTATTTGTTCAGCAGACAGATTGAATAAGTATGGTGAAAGGATACAACCCTGACCAACACTTTTAAACCACACAGTATTCCCTTTTTTCTGTTTGAAGGACTGCTTCTTGATTTATGTCCAGGTTTGTTATGAGCACATTTAAGTGTTCTGGAATTGCTATTCTTTGCAATGTTATCTATAATTTATTATGATCCACACAGTTGAATGCATTTGCATAGTCAAAAAACAAAACAAAACAAAACAAAAACCAAAAACAAACAAACAAACAAACAAACAAAAAAACAGAACAGGTAAACATCTCTCTGGTATTATTCTCTGCTTTCAGCTAAAATGTATCCAACATCAGCAAGATATCCCTCCTTCCAAATCCTCTTCCGAATCTAGCTTGAAATTCTGGCAGTTCACTGTCAGTGTACTATTGCAATAGTTTTTAAATTATCTTCAGGAAAATTTTACTTGTCTGTGGTATTCATTACATTGTTCAATAATTTCCATATTCTATTGGATCACCTTTTTTTGGAATGGGCACAAATATGGATCTCTTCTAGTTGGCCAGGTGCCTGTTTTCCAAATTTCTTGGCATAGCTGAGTGAGCATTTCCAGTGTTACATCCATTCGTGCTGACAATTAGCAAATAGAGGAGCACAGAACCCTGCTTATGTAGATAACATCCAAACAAAACAAAGAAAATGAAAATCATGGGCAAGTCACTCCAACATACAATCACCAATTAAATATAAACACAAAAATGTTACAATGTCTCAGAGACAATAGACCATCACAGTCCACATGAAGAAGCAAGATAAAGCAGTAGAAACAAGGGACCAGGATACAGACCCAGAACAGATCCCTGAAGAAGAAGCAACATTGGAATTCCCTGATAAGAAATTCAAAAGAATTATATTTAGGTACTTTCAATAGATTGAGAGACAGATCAAGGAAAACACTGACAAAATTGAGGAAAACACAGAGAGAACCCTAGAACAAATTTGAAAGATAATCCAAGAACAAAATGACAAAATAAATGAAAAATTAGAAAAATTAGAAATTACAAAATCTGTAGATAGAAATCCAAAAGATGAATACTAAATTTTCAGAAATAGATAACACATTGAACAGGCAAAGGAGTAGAATAGAAACAATGGAAGACAGAATTAATGAGATTGAAGACAAATACCTCAATACTTCTTTGGAAAAGGGTCAATCAGAAAAAGATAAAAACAAAATGAAGAAAGCCTAAAGATCATGTGGGATACCATCAAAAGGAATAACGTATGTGTAATTGGAATTCCAGAACAGGAAGAGACAAATAAAACCACAGAAAAAATTGTTGAAGATTTGTTGGAAGAGAGTTTCCCTGGTATGATGAAAAATGAGAAAATATCCATTCAAGAAGTCCAATGAACCCCAAACAGGATAGACCCCAGAAGTAAATCACCAATACATATCATCATCAAACTCACCAAAACCAAAGACAAAGAAAATCCTGAAAGCAGCACGGGAAAAACAAAAAGTTACCTACAAGGGGCAACCAGTAAGACTAATTTTGGATTTTTTGCCAGAAACCATGCAGGTGAAAAGACAATGGGTTGGTATATATATAGAACCCTGAATGAGAAAAGTTTCCAACCAAGAATTATATACCCAGAAAAATTGTCCCTCAAATATGATGGTGAAATTAAGACATTTCCAGATAAGCAGAAATTAATGGAATTTATTAAAACCAGACCAAACTTATAAAAGATGCTAAAGGGAGTCCTCTGGACAGAGAATCAACAACAGCAAACAACAACCAGCCATTAACACATATGATGACATAACTCAGAAACCAATCCAGTTATGAACTTATCCAAGGTAAATAAGCCTCAAACTAAATCAAACTCACTGCTGTCAAGTCGGACCTGATTCTTAGCAATCCATCCTTGGGTTTCCGAAGTGATATCACTACAGAAGCAGATTGGCCAATCTTCCTTTTGAGGTGTGGCTGCTGGGTTTGAACCACTAATCTTCTGGTTAGCAGTCAAATGGCTTAGGAATTCTGCCACCAGAGATTGTAAACAGGGAACCAGAGACACCAATTGACAAATGACAACAACTACAAACCAAAAAGAGGGAAAAAAATTGTGTAGTTACACAACTTCTAAATGGTAGGGAAGTAAAGACAACTGCAAGATAAAATGGACTGTTCTAAACTTGGGAAGAAAATTATAAATCACAGGGTAACCTAAAAGAAAAATGATAAATCTTCACATCAAAATAAAAAAAGAAGACCAGCACACATATGTAGCAAATACTAAAAGAATAGCAACAAAGGAAGTGATAATATGATTCATAAATAAAATGAGCTCATCACAGAAAATTATAGGGAACAAAGAAATCAGCAATACCATGACAAAGCACATAACAAAATGACAGCAACAAATTCATACTTGTTGATAATTACACTGAATGTCAATGCATTAAATGCACCACTCAAAAGACAGAGAGTTGCAGACTGGATAAGAAAACATAACCCATCAATATGCTGTCTACAAGAGACACACCTTAGACAGGAAGATAAAAATAGACTAAAAATCAAAGGTTGGAAAAAGATGTACGAAGCAAATGGTAACTATTTATGGCAGGAGTGGCAATATTAATTTCTGATACAATTGACTTTAAGACAAAAACCACCATAAGAGACAAGGAAGGACATTCTATAATGATTAAAGGGTCAATTGAACAAGAGGACATAACAACAATAAATATCTATGTACCCAATGAAAGAGCCCCAAAATACATAAATCAGACTTTAACAGAATTGAAAAGACAA